TTAAGGTGACTGCCTACTTTTGAACGCTCGATTTGAGCCCACGATGCGCGCGCTCAAAAACCATTGAAAAATCTACAAGATCTTATTGAAGAATCATGTATACACGTTTTGAGCTTCAACAGGGCAAAACCCTCAAATTTTGCACGGGACTTTCTATTTGTTAATAGCTTATCCAAAAAACTCCTAAAAATCTAGGTCATATCAACTTTTTAGAAAAAGGTAATTTTTCTAATACATAAAAAAAATTGATTTTTGTAGGGAAATAAACACGTAATATTGAAGAATGATTGACTAGCCGTGATTCGTGCAATCATAGAGTTTGCAAATAACTATTATCTTATAAATCTTAATTTTTTTCTGATCACTTCCGATGGCGCAATTTTCGCTCCAAAAGCCGCTCGCGTGAGTAGGCTTTTATTAAATGCCGTTTATCTCGAAAACAAGCTCGGAACACCCCATTTTTCTTTTCATATTTGGAATCAGCATTCAACTTCGCTTTAAAAGAATATAGTTTTAAAAAATAGTTTAAATTTTTTTCCAAAAGTAGGCAGTCACCTTAACAGGTATTTCTGATGAAGAAGCGTTGCTCTTATCATGAAGAAAGAGGAATAACTATCATAAGTATAAATACACAGGTGATTATTGAAAATCTCGCGCGCTGATTGGTCGAAAAACTCACACTATCACACGATAATCACCTCCAACGATAATCCAAAATGGCGGCCAGCCGCTTTGTTGCTGTTACCGGGGAAAAAGTGTCTTTTATCCTCTTTTTTTCTTCTCTTTTTGAAAGAATCACCTGTGTACTTATACTAAAACAATTATTCACCTCAGGCTCAGTGAATATCGGGAACAATAACCATAACTTCGTTTCGGTTGCTATATTCCCCGATATTCACTTCGCTTTGGGCGAATAATTGTTAATGAATGACTCATTCTTGTTTTATAGAATTTGAAAACACTTCACACTACGTGCCGAACTGTCTTGACGCATGTAAACTTTCCAGATAAGGCGTTTGAAAGTTAATCGGTTTCCAGGAAACAAGAACTTCCTTTCTATATCTTGAAATAAATAAATAAATTTCGCATGTATTTATATTCGTTCAAGGTAAGATGCATTTATATATTTTAAAAGAGTATTAACACTTTTTTTTAATGAATCTTTTACATGTCGTTTATCTTCTCTATTTCATCTTATTTCATTCCATTTTATTTCATTTCAATCGATTCAATTATTTTCAATTCATTTGTTCCTGTTTTCTTTTTGTTGTTATTCTAATTTCTACTTTATACCTAGTTCCATTTTAACTTTATTTTCACTTCATTTCTATTTTTATTTTATCTTCATTTCATTAGATCTTTCAGTTTTGTTTCATTTCATTTCAATTACCATCAGAATCATCAGATCATCATCATCATATTCATTATTATTATCGACATTTTATTGAATTCCTTGAACATTTTTATACAACTTTATCATCATTATTATTATTATTATTATTATTATCATCATTATTATTACTATTATTATCATTACTCAATTTTATTTTATTCTAGATTTTCTTTCTTGATTTAAATTTTAATGAAATCAAACAAAATTTTGATTTTTTTCAAATTATTTCTAGTGATATTTCCATCTTTCATGTTTTTTAAACTTTTATTCTCATCCACGTGCTCGTGCTTATGCTTATTCTTATTTTTATTTTTGTAATACACTCAACAAAATTACCCGACTCTGATTGGACAAGGGGAGTACAATAAAATCCCAAATTCAAAAAAATACAATTAAATCCCAATCCTGGAGAGTGTATTATAAACAAAAAATCGCACAATGTTCTCGTACTATTCAGAATTTTTAGATACTCGTAATGTTTTGAAAGCTCTCAAAATTTTGAAAACTTTCAAAACATCACTGGGACCTATAAATTCGGAATTCTACGAGAACATTGTGCGATTTCCTATACTGACTAATTTTCATAACTCGTATTTAGACAACAGTAAACGACAAGCAAACCAATCTCTCTGTTTTTCTCAAAATACTCCGAAGCATTTAAAAAGGTATAAGATTTTCAATAAAATTATTATATTAAATATAATTTTTTTTGATAAAACATTTAATATCTTTTCGAAGCCAGAAGTCTGAATTGTTTTTCTGCTGGGCATTACTGCTAAAAGCCGCAAGCAACAATTGAAAGTGAAATCTTCCTGAATGACTCTAAAGGTGAAGGCAAAGAAAATAGAGGCACGAATAAGGAGTCAACCCACTGTGAATTGCTTCCTTCTCGGCCGTTAAACCCGCCTGTCTTCTATGACGATCATTTTCCGATGGGCGGCTTCCGACTGGACAGATTTTGGAGCAGAAAAAAGTTTTGTGTTACTATCCAAATAAATACCATTCACTCTTCGCTTCGACTTGAACATTATTATTGATTTCGCTTCCTAGTACAAAGTTGACTCACTTTAATTAACAACCCTTTTAAAATAAGCACATTTTGTAACTAGTTAACAGCTAAATGGGTAACACTTCAAATAAAGTTATCTTACCTTAGGTGCCAGTGATCTAAGCGTTGATTGTTTCAGTCTACTCAGACAGGAATACTGAATAGAATAAACCTATAGGTGCATATATAAAAGGCAGCATCATAAGACTTAGTAATCATTACGTCCGGTCACTGGAGCCATCGAATCACGTGAGTAGGGAATAAAAGAACAGATGTATTGCGGTGTGTAATGTTAGGAAGAGAAAGAATGGGCAAACATTTTTTAACGAATGCCCTGTATTGATTCAACCCACAAACATTAAAAGCGTGTGAGCATAAAATATCACCACTGTGATGTGATCCTTTATCTAGTCTTCACCGCAACAAATTATTTTGCCAGTAGTTGTGCATATTTTCGTTAATTTTTCAATGAATATTACTTTTATATATAGTGAATAAGAAGGAGTTGTATTCACACCGTGTAAATAAAGTTTGTAACAACACTTCAGACGTTTGTACTTCGTCGTAATCTGAATCCTGCTATAGATGGATCGATAAGATTTTCCATAAAACTCAGTGCCAAGGAAACTTTTAGTGTTTTTCTTTCATCGGTACGGATTACGTGTAACCACACTCTTCGTGGCATTACGGAAAATCTCCCATGCTTACAGACTACTGGGCACGGATTCAATGTCCAGCAGTTTTTGATTTTCAACCATTTCTCAACTAAAACGAAACACTCGGCAAACTGCGTGCGCAGTGTTTAACATCCACCAACTCGTCATCAATTCGTTTCTTATTTGCAACAAATAGTTTCTTCAGATTGCAGCAACTCGTTTCTTATTTGCAGCAACTCGTCAAATATGCACGCAGCAACTTGTCAAACATGCACGCAGCAACTCGTTTCTTAATAGATCGATCTCGACTATGCTTGAGTGTCCACCCAGACAATGGGTGCTTATCCAATGGAATGCAGAATGTCCAACCAACAAACTCGAATTCATAAGAATTTTTGGTAGTTATCGATTTTTTTCTCAATGTACCTTTAGGATGCATTGATTCTAAGACAGGCATTAACAATTTTCAACGATCGGTGTCTGTTCCATGCTGTATATCAAAAACACATTTTAGCTTGTCGATGTCCGACGTAGTAAAAGTAACTAGGGYGGTATAACAATGAATGCAGAATCGATGTATTGCAGCAACTTGTCTGAAATGCAGCTAATCCTCTAAGATGCAGCAACTCGTATTAGAAAATGCAGCAACTCGTTTCACATGTAGAAACTCGTCTCGTATTTGCAGAAACTCGTGTAAATGTAGCAACTCGTCTTTTATTTCCAACAGCTCGTCTAACTTGCTGCACGTCTTTTATGGTTCTTATGGGAAGCCGTAGTCACGCAACGTTTCTCTTCCCAAGAGAGAAGAGAAACCGCGTTGCGTGATGTGAACATAACACCTTCCAGGCTTACAGGCCTGGATTCACCACGTGTTACATTGTGCGCTTACGTACTAGGCACAAGCACGTGCCTGTCCTTCTCTCTACCCATCCACTCCGTTGAGGAAGCCTATTTTGCTTCCCGAACCCCTCCCCCTCAAATTATAACTGTTTACTAACTGAAATGTGGTACTTCAGCGACAAGTCTCCCGCAAAGATTTTGACGTTTACCTGGTTTTGAAATGTGTACCCCAGGGTATTTTTTCTTGTCTTAAACACGTTCCAAACCCCAGGGTTTTCTAAGTCACTATTTCCGGCCCTGCACCGTGGTATTATTGCCAATTCCTATTAACCCAAGATGTATTTCTTGAGGTCCTTACACAAGGGGTGCCGCCTGATAATACCGCCACGACGCCAAACACATTATTTATTTATTTATTCACCTATCACAGACAGATGCGCTCTCTCTTTATTGTATTATTGTCTATTTCCGCTGGGCCTCAACAAGCAGTGTTGTATGCATTCCTTCAGTATCTGTTTGAACTTACCGGTTGGCTAGACGTGTTAGTGTTGACACATTTGTGTAAATGTGTAAAGCTAAACAAAGCAATCCATTGTAGAATCCCAGGAGCTTATCCGAATCATCATTGACATTATCGGCATTGGGCAATTATTCAGAGTCTCAGCATTCATTTGGGCAATTTATTATTCCTGCGATGTGAAGGAAAATAAACATTAGCAGCCTAATTTTAGATAAAGAGTGCCAAAGATAGCCTTGGAAAGTAATTTGCAGTTAATTGCAGCTGCTTGCCACTAAGCGGAGCTTGTCCGCAAGGGTCTTGCAGGAAAACTTGAGGAAAGATAACTCACATGGGGTGCCTTTCGTGGTAAAACTTGCCCCGGGAACAAAATTTCGGTAGTTGCACGAAAAGTATGGGTTTTTTGGTTTGAAATTTTTACAACAAAAATTTTCATAGCTCACTATGTTTTATTTAATAAACGTGCTAGTCAAATTAAAAAGCTCTTTGAAACCTGCTTTATTGCGATTCACTAGAAAAAAATGGGATAACGAGCTTGGATTCTGCTTCTCAGCATAAAAAACGGCAGTTGACTGTACATCAAGTATTTTAAGTATGTGACATCAAAACCAGATGAATTTCAAAGCTGACTCCTTTAGTTCAGTCAGTCCTCGTGCCTGGGGAGTTGTAACCGTAGAATACGAAGCGCTGATGGAGTTCAGTGGGGATTCTTACACTTGACCGCCCAAGCACACGATGTTGCGCAATGGCGTCTTCTTCATGAAACAGTAAACCAGTTTCTTAGATTAGAACTATTCCTCTTAAAGAACAATGGTCAGTGGTTGGTGAAAAGTCTAATAAGTTCCTGTTTTGATAAGTGTTGGCGAATTAGATAACCTTTTGTTAAGAAATCGTTGTCATACCAAAGCGCGGGAAACTGACCCATGGGCAAGGGTCAGTAACGAATTGCTGAAAGGGAAGTAGGTTCGTTTAGAAATAGCTACAACAATCTGAAAACCATAACTTCCCGAGAAGAAAAAGAAATTGAGAGCTCCCAAATCATATCGCATTATAATTTTTTTTCCCTGTGCATTCACCGTTTCTTCGTTTAGTTTTATTTCAATTTTGCTTAATTTTGCTTTTGTACTCTTGCACTTGGTTGTGCACAGTGCGGTTTCCTGTAGACTTATCTTTAGAAACTAAACAAATTCCCAACTCTATTTAATGTGTTCTACCAGAAACAATAGAAATTTTGCTCCAACACTCAGAGGAACTCATCAATACCTTCCACATATTTTCCGTATTTCGTTCAAAAACTAACAATCTATCACAATATCTATATAAATACGTTCTACCTAGAGTAACAAACATCTGGTGATCAAACATTGCTTTTGTAATTCCTTTTAATCCATCGGGAAATATTTACACGGGGTAGATTTATACAAATTTACATTAATTTGATTAATATAATATATCTCTCTATATCTGGTTTGCTTTCCACAACCATTTTAACATATTTTTATAAAACACAACTCGAAGTTAAACACAATTTTTCAATAAATATAATAGTAGCTTGGTTTGTTTGTCCTTCATCATAATTTTTCTGAGGTGAATAATTTCACAACTTGTTATTGTTTTAAATTTTGGACAATGTAATAAACACACACAATGTTCAAGAAGGCAGTGATGTTTGTCTCTGTGTCATTAGGTCAAAACGTTATTATTCTTTGTTCAGGATCTGTGATTTTCAAAGCATCCTTGGAACTTGAAGAAGCTCAAAGACGCAGTGCGATTTTAAGATCAGGAGACGTGGAATGGTATTATTTTTCACTCACATGTCCATTATCTTTTGCCAGAGATTGAACATCTGTCATCACTTAGAGAATCGGAATGGAAAATTGGCCAGAAATTATAATTCCCCAAGAATCTTAAGTTCAGTTACTGTAATTTAACACAAGAAGAGAAATCCTGTCTTTTTCTCACAAGTAATGCAATGCCCTGTTCAATATATTTACGAATCTCCATCCTCTTGCAAACGAATACTCTTGAAAATTATTTTTCTTGCAAACAAATTTTCTATTTCACTCGTCGAATATGCCACTTTTATGGCAAATGTTTTCCCAGCCGTAAACTTAAGCTTCGCTTCCAACTATTAACACATTTTGGTCACTCAAATCGTGGTGTCTAACTTTTAGTTCTGGAAGTTTTTCCATTCTATCTAGTCCCATTTCGACTATGAGCGTAGAGATAGTATCATCATCAATGTTCCCTGCGTCAATGCCATACACACGGAGACATAATAAATTCAAGTCGTCAAACGATACCAGTCCAGTACTTGGTTTTACGCAGTGTGTCAAAGGATACGATGAATTATAATCAAAAACATTCTGCATGGAGTTCTTTGTAGTTGTGTGGCAAGCACCGGCGTTCCCACTTCTTGCACATGTAAACGGAGAAGGACTCGGTATAGACCCTGCTAGTGATGTTGTTGTAGTTGTAACCTCAAATGTTGCTGGATTTTTCATGTTTTCTCAAGCCTTTTTGCTCTAAATGGACCTTGTAACGTCGTTGTCTAAATCCCTAGAAAGTCACACGGGTACTGAGTATCTACACTCAGCGAGCTACGACGTATTTATACGTGGTTGGTTCACTCAACCGCATCTATTTTTAGAATAGTGGTTATGTCATTATAGTGCATTATAGTGATTACGTATCACACGTAATCAGCGTGAAACAGCGTAACACAATGAAAGCCAGTGACAACGGCACATGAAAAATATGTGTTCCTACAAACACCAAACCGAAATCTTAGTCTCGAGAACATGATTTCAAACTGTGGATCTCGAATAAATTCCAGAAGTCTTTTGAATTGAACAGGAGGTATTTATCATGGGCAGTGATATTGAAAAGTTTTCTGAGGGGGCTTATCTTATTGTGTACTCATCAACAAAATCAGTCGGTCGTGCTTGACATTCTAAGCGCTTTGAAGTGCTGCCAAGCATGGCAAAAACACAAGACGGAAAAACAGAGATGCCTTCTTGAGAGGTGACACGTTTGTACGCGAAATTCGAAGACCACTTGATATCGCTTTGAAATCTAACGCTACAGATTAAAAAAATTTGAAGTTTACTTTTTTCTAATACTCGGAGAGAAAACTGTTTTTAGTTTCGTGTATTTGTGTATTTTTTTAACAACAAAGTTACAAAGCCGGCTTTTGTTTCTAATACAATATAGAAGTAATTCCACAAAAACCTAGGCAATTGTTTGTTGAGCTGTTTGGTTATCCAGTAAATATTGATTAGATTTCTAAGTTATTTAATGAACAGATAAGACAATTGCGACACTAACACTCTTATCACGAGTCTTTCTAACCACCCGCCTGTATGTTTCCGGTTCAATCGAGAAAGATTCATAAATTGAGAAAATGAGCTCAAAGGTACGCACTCAAATGGCTTATAGTTCTTACGCAAGCTAGAATTAGCAAACGATTCAAGAGGAAGACTACTCGATGATAAATGTGTCTTTTTATCCTAAAATAAATCATCCATGTCGTTATATTGCTTAATTTTCAATATGACGATCATAGATTTCCGTTTCGGGGTAGATATTAAAGTTCATTTCATGCCACGACACGTGAAAATTCGCGTTTCCTTCAGATCATTGTCTACTTTGAGATGACTAAATACATAAATATTTCATGTGAAACGTCTTCAAAAAAATATCGTATTATCACGTTAATTGACAGGTCTTGTGATCGTACTCGTGAATCATCGAGAAAAGTTTTTCCGTGCAGGCGTCCAGGGATAGTTTATTGCCCAGGCTTCCTGTGGTAGAGCCCGAGGAGAGTAAATTTGATAACTGTAATATGTTAGAGAAAGCTATTCAGTTATTGACAACTCGAGGCGGGCGACAAAAAGTTGCTTCTTACTCACAAAACCGATCAAACACTACAAGAGTGTCTAGTAAATCTCACATCGATGTGCGTTGATTGGGGGGTCTTTGCGTTTCTTTAAATACATTAACCTCGTAAAAATGATCATATATACTTAAGACCAGACTAACAGGAAAACTAAACCCCAGCATTTTCATTGCTTTAGTATTTTCCTGCTTAGTCATATTCATTTCAGCCGGCTAGGCCCTGAATCATAGTCAACTGAATGACCGCTCCCCAGGTCCTACCTTCATCGTTTTCAAAGATGCAGTGTACGGAATTTAAAATTCTAGCCGTGCCCTTTGTGGCTTGTACTATAAAATTCATTCTGCTTGGTACTATTTTAGTATTTCACCAAATATAAACGTCTTACAAACACAAGGGTACAAGCCTCTTAACCACTTCCCGGGACAAACCTGGGCTTGCCCATTCTGAAAGTTAAGTGGTCAAGTTATCGTACGGTTAAACTGAGCAAAGAGGAAAGGAAGGAAGGAAGGGATGAGAAGAAAATAAACCCACGAAATCTAGAGAAAAGGAAATGACGAAGTAGGTAAGAGATAAAGAGGGAGAGAAAACTGGGAATGAATGAATGAAAGAAAGAAAGAAAGAAAGAAAGAAAGAAAGAAGCATCACGTTCATAGTTATTTAATATGTACGCTGTAATACTATTAACTATGGTTCTATCGAACATAAACAACAAGTCCTCAGATATCACTCATTCTGTCAAAGTCAAGGACTGTGAAGTGGAGTGTGGCAAATCTAGAGTGCCTCGAGGTCTGTTAAGCACAACAGACAGTGAATTATGAAAAATTATGTATTAGATTAAAAAGAAAAATCATTACATAATCGAAATGACTCAGCACAACAATTCACGGTTGGATTCCTGACCAAGCAATAGCAGCATTTCTTACATGCTACCGTCGCGAACAATGGCGTATGAAAGTCTAGAGTAATAATTTAATGAAACCTAATAAAAAAAATTGTATTGCTTGCAGGGTAAAAGAAGAGTCGAAGCACGTGATCAGTTGCCCCTTGACTTGGTGAAACAGTCGAATTGAGGAATAAATGAACGCTCCTATTAATACCTGAAGAGCTAGCTAGACTTCGATCACTGTCCCCTCTCCAGAAACGGCGGAATACAGTTTTAAGGAAGGGGAGTGGGGGGCTAATCTGGGTGATCCGGTGTGATGCCCCCGTTCTCTGAAAATTTCGAAATCATAAAGGCTCTCGGATACGCAATTTCCAATGTTCTGAGAGGCAATTGCAACATATTTTTTTGTATTAAACAAATGTCAAAGCATTATGCAACTCATAGTCTCCCCCGCAACCTTTCTTAGTAGTGTCGTCACGCATTTTTGCTGAAAACGTTAGGGGGCTCAAGCACCCCGCGTGCTCGGTCACTGCTCCCCTAGACAAATAAGCAAACAAACGTCAACCAGTCGCTCAAATGAAGAACAGAAGGCTTAAATCACAGCTCAGGTTGTCAGTATCTTAGTCGTTGCTATATAAAACTGAACTCGAGAAAAGGACAATGCATCTGATTTGGGAAGAGTACAGTTTAACATGTTGACCTGATTCTATCTATCTCAAAACGAACGGTATATCTGACAAAGCAAGAGCTTAAATAGCTGTCAGGCTCTCAAAAACGTTGAGACTACTATAGCTAGTTTAATAAGTTTGGGCAGTACGTTATAACCACCTCAGTGGCAATACTACTCCCACTTCTCATAGACTTTCTTTTTTTTTGTACATGAGCTTACGAAACTTGTGAACTTGTGTTTGTTTTGGTTTCTACGTCAGTTCTGATGAAACGGAATAAGTTCAGTCATGAGGAACAAAGTGGTGAATGACTCAATGGCTTTTTATCCAGTTTGAAAAAAAACATGTTTTAATGAAATCTAGCCGCAAGGGGTAAAACGTTTTCCTGTATATGATAAAGCAAAAACAAGCGTTATATTCTGGGATCCAACTTCAATTTTTGTGTCAGTAAACCACAGTAAATAGTCGATAAATAAAGCGTCTTTTATTTTCTGAGAATGATGGTTACCAGAGTGAATTCACAGTCTTAATATAGTTGAGTCCTGGAGCCTGAAACTGATGGTTTCGATAAGCCACTTTATACGAACTTGACCCTCGACAACCTTGATTGAGCAATGACGTCAAGTGAATATTGAGAAACACCTTAGGTGGCTTTTACCTTTTTAGCAATGAGTTTCTTACTACGAAAAAGGTTATATTTAGGAACTACTTATTTCAGTAACTTATCTAAATCTGGAAGATTTTGTAAAATGAATAAGATACATCCAGATGTTTAGTATCATCTCTTAGATGACGTTACTAAAACTACAGGAAAAAAAACTACAGCGCCAACAGTAATTGGTGACGAATAGTTGTCGTGGTATCCCTGCCTTAACAGGCAAAATAAATATATAAAAAAGTAGCCTTTCGTTTAGTCGATTGAAGTAAGTTCATATCGATCTTATGCTTTCTTGTTTGTACGTCGGGTTTTGTGCCTCGTGTTTTTGCGACCACAGAGCATTACTTGTTTGTTTTCATTGATCCAATCAGATCTCCCTTATTGTTTTTCTAATCTAGAAATCGCAAGGAAAAGAGTGTTGTTTGGGTAAGGATAAAAGTAAGTCAAGAGGGAAAAAAAGGCGAAAATGAACGGAAATTGAAAAATAAAATCGAAAAGATAAGATCGATTATGCAACGGTGTTCAGTGTGGGAAGTATTTCATTGGCTCTTGCAACCATAGTTAATAGTTAATCTATTCACTGTGTTACAACGTCACCCTTTTGCCTCGATTAGATTAAAAATCGAAGCTGCAATTGTGATAACCAGTAAAGGACTAATAAACTAGATTGCATCTCTAGACGATCTCTTCGTGTGCCCAGGCTCGTATAGTAACGATGCTTAATATAACCTTCACCCCTTCTTATGCAACCTCTCATCACTCGTGTATTGCATGTTGGCGATGCCCTTTCGTGCACAACAATATCAGACGTATCAAGCACGAGGGATTTATTTTTTCAATACTCGTGTCATACAATCTCCTTTTTAGGATCTATAAATTTTCCTTAAAATTAATGAATAAAAACCTAATAAGTTGAATGATAATTTTGAAACTAGAGAATTACGCAAACCAATTGATCATGAGAGGCGTCTCAGATACAACGGATGAAATATTTCCTTTCTTGAGTCTTGAAAGGCCCAAGTGTTTGAAGTACTAACGTAAAATATTTTTGGCTTCAGCAGTTTTTTCAGTCACGTAGGGCAAATCAGGCATAAACTTCTAGATTCGGTGCTGATCCAGTGAAAAACAAACAAGAAAAATGACTTACCACAGGTAGCCCAATATCTTTATTTAGCAGAGTCCTCTATCCCAACCTCAGTATTTCCATGTAACCTAAGTAGAAATATTTTGTAAATATTTTTGTAAATTACTGCTTTTTAAATTTGAAAATAGAATTGCATTTTAATTTTTTGATTTAAAATATCCCTTACAAGGTTACAGTTCTTTATATTTTCTTTTTTTTTTTTTCCTAGTGCTGTAGCTTAAAATATTTACATTAAGTAGTTTTATTCGCTCAAATTAAAAGCAAGCAGCATAAAATCTAGTGTGAGAAAGTTTTACTTTTACCTAAAAATCCTCACTCTTCAGGCCCAGCCAGGGGGCAGTGTGGGATACCAAATACCTGACATTTTTTGAATGACCTAAAATTTCAGAAATGATCCGACACTAAATACCTAACATTTATTTTAGAATCAAACCTACAAAAAGATAACAAATATCTGTAATTAGCTGTTCATATACCCAAATAAACCCCTTGTAGTATGTCGGAATGCAGCTCAATTTGAATGAAGGACAAAAAAAAAGAGAATTTCAATCTTATATAGAATTGGAAGCCTAATTCTCATGACATTGAAATTCTTTCGTTTTGTCCTCCAAATTGAGCTGCTTTGACGTCACATGCACGAGGTCTATACCTGAAATAAAAAGGTACCAGATACCAAAAACCCCTATAGTCGGACCTGAGTCTTCGATAGCCTTATAGTGATAGCCGAATCGTTAATTGGGTTGCCTGTGGTACGATGTTTATCACCAAACATTGATGCACATGAATCTCTTTACAAGAATAATACTATAGTGAAAGTTAAACAACAGCCTTAGTTTGAGAATAATTTAGATAGTTTAGGTTCCATTGTACACGATATGTCAGAGTGTTTAATCTTATAGAAACGTAAATAATATCAAAGACGAGGTTAAAAACAAACTGTCGATGCTCACTCAGCAAGGCTTCTACGTCGTAGTAAAATTAACATAACAATTGAAAAGAAAAAATCTAAACAAGAGTAAAAATTAAATATTAAGAATCAAATAAATCTAAAAAGAAAGATAAATTTACCTTAATTCATTGAAGTTTAAGACATCTTTGAGTAACTCTTCACCTATTATAAACCTACTACACTGGACTTGAGCCTGTGGTCTATCCAGCGGTGACCACTAAAAATGGCGGGAAATATTAATAATAGCGGGAAGGAGATCCAAGATGGCGGCTGGAGTCGGAACAACAGTCTTTGAGAGCGATCTTGCTGGTGATGGCTTCGGTAACGATCAAATAAATGATATATTTGGAGACGATGATGACTTATTCAATGCCCCAGCACCTTTACCACCTCTTTCTCCTACGGGTGTCGATGATGGAGCGAATAATCTCGACGGAGCTGGCGAAGAACAAGACAACAAGGAAAAGAAGAAAAAGAGGATTATTAAGCGATCTCCAAGACCAAGACTGAATGAAGCTAGGTTAATGGAATATTTTCTGATCTTGTGTTATATTAGTATTAATTTTTTGCTTAAGCAAAGCTTTACATAAAAATTCAAAGCTTTGTTAGAATCCAAGAAAACCTAGAAAAATATTCTTGAACATAAACAAAAAATAAGCTTGTTCGAAAACAGAGCTTATGACCACTTTTGTCTTTGAATGAGTTTCGCAAAGTCGTGGAAAAAAATTCTAAAAGGGTACGCTTTTATAGACTTCTGCAAACTTAGATGAAACTTAGTTAAGAATTTTCATTTGCATGTATAACACCTTGCTGGAAGAAGTACATATCCACCCCCTCTCCACCCCTTCCCCCTCCATGATATGAAAACAATTAATTTTCTTGGCCCTAAACTCCTTGGTCCTAAGGCAGCACTTGGAAACCTATAGAGCATTTTCATGTGACGTCACAGCAGCCATTATGGGGTACCAAAACAATACATTTTCTATCCTCCAGGAATTGAACTCTATTTTTATGCAAATACTGTGCAGAAAGTTTCTACTGTTTATGACTGCCTTCTCACGTGAGTGAAAGCGCTCTATCATATTTTTCCTAACATTGATTCCCACTCTCTCCAAAAATCTTGCTATTTTTTTTCTACATCCTTCTGTTTTTAGGCTTTGTGGAGAGCGCGGTATCACAGCTTTGGCCCATTTATGTGATGGGGTAAAATTCAAAGGCAAAGGCCATGAGGTATGTAAACAATATATGTACTCCCAGGTAATACATACATATTTACACTTACTTTCTTCTAAGCAAGATTTTGTCCCTTCCATGAGACTGCCAGGATAAGAATTGATAAACCAATGCATTCTAGTCTAGCTTGAGTACAAACAACAAAAGGTGTTTATACCCAAGCTAGACCACAATGCCCAATATTAAATATATCTGAAAATAATAAGCCTTTTCTGGGTTTGGTAAACAGATTGCATTCTGGACTAGCTTGGGTCAACACTATGTAAGTTACATTAAACAAAATATATTTGTACTGAAGCTAGACCATATTGCACCATGCTTCCAATAATGAAAAGTCATTCACTTGTTACAATTAAAAAAATATAAAAGACTTACTATTTCCTTCTGTAGGCCTCAGATCTTAGAGTTCTATTACAACGTTTTGAGCATTGGGCTCACAGACTGTATCCCATGTATCCTTTTGAAGATGTTGTTGACCAAGTAGAAACACTAGGAAAAAAGAAATTGGTTCAGGTATGTATGGCAAATTAACTTACTCACCCACCCCACCCCCCTTCTTCTCTCCCCTACTCTCCTAATCCCAACCCAAGTTGGCTGGCAAGGGTGTCCTAGTAGTTTACTGCTTGCCTCTCACTGCTGCCATTCGGTTTCGAGCCCCGGCTCAGACTGGATTGTATGTGAGTTGAGTTTGTTGATGTGTCGTTCTCTTCCTTGCCACGGGGGTTTTAAAAAAATTTCTGATACATTAATTGTAAAGCACCTGGATATTTATCTGAGTATGTAAGCTACCATATATATAAATTAGTTATTATTTATTATCATTGATAATCAAATTTTTCCTGTGTTTACAGAATGCCATAAAACAGGCTAGAAGAGAAGATGATGGGCAAGTAAATGAAAATCTATCAGAGGATGATGAAATGCAAGTAAATGGTAAGTACTACACTAGTCCAACTAGCCAGTGGTACATGTACTGTTAAATAAAAGCAAGAGTTTTATTGGGTTTAAAAGGATGAGACATAAAATAGATTATAAGCGAGAGGAATACTTAAGAGAGGTAACTAATATTAAACACAGAATAAGTC